AACGAAAATTTGGAAGAAATTGAAGGGGTACCCCTTAGAAAAATCTCGGAAAAATAAAAAAATTTTTTTTTGTTGTTTATTATTAGCAATGTTCTTCCGACGTCTGATTTCTTTTTAAAAAATGCGTTTCTAAAGTGCATAAACTTTTGGGATTGACTGTATAGTCAATACATCCTTAAATAGTGCAGGAAATAGTTTGTAAATGAATGAGATATACGACTGATGCAGTACGTAGTTTGTACGCGTGTTTGATACCTAAGTTATCAGTTGAATTGTTCGTTTGTAATAAATACATATTGAAATTGATAATTTCTAAAATACAACTTTTCGAGTCTGCACAGTCCTGCAGATTCACTGATTAAACTTCAATAATTATCACTGATCACGAAATTCTTGTTACAAACGAACCATGTGTCAAACAGTATTTTTAATTTCCATATTTTTGCGGAACTAATTTCGTCTGTGTTTCTATTATTCTAAACGATACGTATTAGTAAGCACGATAAGATACAAATACATAAGTTAGAATTAATTATAGGACATTTAATAATTGTATATTCTAAGTATTTAATTTAGTATGAATAGCATATTATTTGCAATTTATTTCTATCTTTAATATGTACGAATAAAACTAATCCTTTAACATACATTCATCGCTCGTTGTTTGTTTATTTATATTTTATCAAATTCTTCGTAATATGTATCAGATACAATTCATACAACAAATTATTTGTATGCACTTTAATCAGAATTGTTTGGATCGCATTAGGAGCAGCAAAAAGACCTGAAAGTTAATTAGATTAACTCACCGATGCGACATCGAGAATCCAGCCTCCTCGATCCGTGTTGCACTTTATTTATTTTATGTAGTCGCGGTCGCAGTCATTTGCTGAGTGTCACATGTTACTTGAACCACTTTCACTGGAAAATCTTTGTATTAGAGTAATACTGAAACTACTATCAATCCATCAAAATGACAAATTTCATCTTTATTTAACATTGTAGCTCTTAATGAGCATACGTACGTACTTAAACATGTAGCTCGTTTCTGCCGGCTTATAGTAAATCTCAACTTCCGGAAGAGAACATTTTCAACACTTCTAATTGGCTGAAGTTGACACAATTGGAAAAGTTCTAATTTCAAATCAAAACTCCAAATTATATGGTATAAAAGACTATTAAAATAACATTGATTGTATATACGTTTCAGTAGAATAAAACGTCCTCGATACAATATCAATATTTATTGATACATTGGTTATAGGTACATACATGTATGTAACGAGAAGTCAAGCCTATTAACTTGTCATCACTAATACGATACGTATCGTTACGTATGTAACGACATTCGTGTCTATTTCTTTCATTTATAAATCATTACTCAGAAAATAAAACACGTTTAGCGAGACGGTTTTAAACAGAGTTGAAGATATGTTTGAAACGAGTCTATTCTTTCCTTCAATATTTGTACACGTACATTTGAAGCAGCCTCGAATTGATGACAGTGCATTTAAGCATTACATTAATAAATACTTGGACTGGTTTTCTCTTTAATGAAAGTTGATAATTATCTACACATATTATATTTTTTGTTACGATCCGAAGACACCGTGTGTTCTCTTACACAATCCATTAATAATCTATCAGCAAATGATGAGACATGTACTGTTGAACACATTGTCTTGTCGCAGAAAATTGCAACGATTATATCTCTGTTCCTACTTACAATGTTAATAGAATGCCGCCGATGCGTGTAAGTCATCTTTTTTACATCATTCGTTTTATCTTTCGGTTTCTCGTACGGCAAATCTCCTTGGATTAGCAACGAATTCAATCGATTTATGAGAACACACAAAATCTCTATCTCATCTTTCATTACTATCTTATCAATACACTTCTCATTGTCAATCTCATAGTTGCATACATGAAAATATTTGACACCGACAATGACGATGTTATCAATGTAAGTACAGAAGGACTTTTTTAATGATTACCGGCAATACACAATTTCCATGTGCAAGAAGCACTTTATGATTTTCAAACAATGATAAATAATAGTTACATGGAACTCGTGAATGTTTCAATACATATTTGTACAGAAAATTCATGCAATGTAATCCACGCATGCTCCTAATTCTTGCATGCTAATTAATGCATTACATACTATAGTATACTATATTATATGTACGAACGAAAATTACTTAAGGTTTTTCTTATTCATTATAAACAATCACAATAAAAGTACAATACGAAAATCACAAAATAGTGACTTCACAATACATCCTATGCGATATAACGACCTACGCGCCACTAGGAGTGGTATTTAAATTGCATTTATTTGGCAAAACGCAGTATGAAAATCATCGAAGACTTAAAATGAAATCAGTTGTTCGTTGAACATTCCTAAAGTCTTACAACTCTTAATAAATAAATTAATTTAAAAAAATAGGAATGTAGAAAGGGGAGAATAATGGTCGAGTAATTTAACAATTTCGATTAAGAAATAAATGCTTATTGGATTTAAAATACATCATCTCAACTTATGAGGGGGAGAAGAAATTAAAAACCTATAAGATAATTGATACATAAAGCTACTTAAAATAATTTCGAGTAAAATAAACTCTGATGTATTATCAGAATAATCGTAAGACATAATGTATTCGCAATTCCGTAACGTTGAACAAACTATTCCAAACACGATAAAATATATTACTATAACTAAATAATTGTTCTCTCTGCCATATCACATAAAGTCGTACTTAATTGATTTTATAGATCTGTACATATGTACGTATACATATTTGGCTGTAGAAACACGTAAACAAATTTGAAGCACAAGAGTTGAATTTGGAAGAGTTTCAAGGATATACTATGGAAGTACTTACCAGATAAATTTAAGCACTGCGTAATATTATTACAAATATATATATCGATGGTTTTAAAATATAAATACTCTATTTCTACATGTAGCATTTACACAATATGGAAACATTCATCAAGTAAAAGTATTCAATAAATGTAGGACCCATAGCCGTTCAAACTTTTAAGGATAATGCGATACGTGTAAAATAAATTAATTAAAAGAAATTGCATCTTAAGCCATCGATATGTATATAAATATACGTATGTATGCAATTATGTGTAAGTCATCTTTTTTACATCATTCGTTTTATCTTTCGGTTTCTCGTACGGCAAATCTCCTTGGATTAGCAACGAATTCAATCGATTTATGAGAACACACAAAATCTCTATCTCATCTTTCATTACTATCTTATCAATACACTTCTCATTGTCAATCTCATAGTTGCATACATGAAAATATTTGACACCGACAATGACGATGTTATCAATGTAAGTACAGAAGGACTTTTTTAATGATTACCGGCAATACACAATTTCCATGTGCAAGAAGCACTTTATGATTTTCAAACAATGATAAATAATAGTTACATGGAACTCGTGAATGTTTCAATACATATTTGTACAGAAAATTCATGCAATGTAATCCACGCATGCTCCTAATTCTTGCATGCTAATTAATGCATTACATACTATAGTATACTATATTATATGTACGAACGAAAATTACTTAAGGTTTTTCTTATTCATTATAAACAATCACAATAAAAGTACAATACGAAAATCACAAAATAGTGACTTCACAATACATCCTATGCGATATAACGACCTACGCGCCACTAGGAGTGGTATTTAAATTGCATTTATTTGGCAAAACGCAGTATGAAAATCATCGAAGACTTAAAATGAAATCAGTTGTTCGTTGAACATTCCTAAAGTCTTACAACTCTTAATAAATAAATTAATTTAAAAAAATAGGAATGTAGAAAGGGGAGAATAATGGTCGAGTAATTTAACAATTTCGATTAAGAAATAAATGCTTATTGGATTTAAAATACATCATCTCAACTTATGAGGGGGAGAAGAAATTAAAAACCTATAAGATAATTGATACATAAAGCTACTTAAAATAATTTCGAGTAAAATAAACTCTGATGTATTATCAGAATAATCGTAAGACATAATGTATTCGCAATTCCGTAACGTTGAACAAACTATTCCAAACACGATAAAATATATTACTATAACTAAATAATTGTTCTCTCTGCCATATCACATAAAGTCGTACTTAATTGATTTTATAGATCTGTACATATGTACGTATACATATTTGGCTGTAGAAACACGTAAACAAATTTGAAGCACAAGAGTTGAATTTGGAAGAGTTTCAAGGATATACTATGGAAGTACTTACCAGATAAATTTAAGCACTGCGTAATATTATTACAAATATATATATCGATGGTTTTAAAATATAAATACTCTATTTCTACATGTAGCATTTACACAATATGGAAACATTCATCAAGTAAAAGTATTCAATAAATGTAGGACCCATAGCCGTTCAAACTTTTAAGGATAATGCGATACGTGTAAAATAAATTAATTAAAAGAAATTGCATCTTAAGCCATCGATATGTATATAAATATACGTATGTATGCAATTAATTTGGCAGAGAGTTCACAGAATAATTCATGCAATTAGGACTATTCGTATCTCTTTTCCGTTCAAGATAGGAAGAAATGCTACAAGTTAAATAAACTATTTTCCTATAGCCTCATTCAAAAATAAGTACACATGTAATGAAAATGAAGAAAAACATTATTGCTACGTTCTATTACCATTCCTTTGAAATATAATTTGAGCTTCTTTTACCTATGAATTAGTTCTTCCTATCTCGAACAATAAAAGAGTTGAGGATTGTTCTAACTATATGATTCATCCTGTAACATGTATGTGTACATAACAAGATACAAAGTAAAGCTAAAATGATATGACTTCCGTATTCTATGACTTGCGAATGAGTCTGTTTCAAAGTCTTGGGATTTTTGATTTTGGAAGTGTCATTTTCGTTTAAAATATTACGATTAAGCGTAAGAATTCAATAAATAACGACAACCAAAATCAATTAATATAGGATGATCTTCATCGCTAATTTCATTAACCTGGAGCATTATGACACACAATAGATGAGTAGGACCACAAAAAACCAAGCCCATAAATAATTATGAATCACAATGTCTCTAACGATCTCCAACTTTAACATTATTCCAAATTGAAATCAAGCATATTTCATTGCTAATACTGCTAAGACTATCAATACCAGAATTTTTAACTGATACTAAATTAAAAATTATGCGTGAAAGGGAAGAACGTGAACCTCCGTCTCGGTGCAAACAATACAAAGAATTCATAGAATTTGATAAAGTATTTAAAACAATATATATTTATGAGCTCAGTTATTGACTACTTTACTGAATCACCATTCATCACCATTCGCACCAGAGGATGAATTCCTTTACCAATCAATATTTCTAATTTAAATATTACTATCTGGTCTATTGGTAAATCCCATTGGCTGAGCATTCTCAACAAGTGTTGCTTCCATACTAGATGAAGGAACCTCGATATTCGTCGCTGCTGATCTCATTTCACGAAGAGGTGCCCTAAAAATTCACAAGATGTTAATACTTGTAATTGATTAAGGACGCAGTTATAAAGCAATTATCATACATATGTACAAGGTAATTTTCTTTTTAAACAACGTACCTACAAAATATATAAAAGCTTTTCGAAGATAAATGGTACGTTATATTAATATAAATTTCAAATTAACATATAATTATGTCTATAAAACATTAAAACTGTCATACAACATTTTCATACATTTCATTACTAAATTACTCAATTGTCTGTATTACAGAATACCATAATTAAAAAATTCTAAACTACGACTCAGAAATTTAGTAAAGAAAATTAGCAACCACATGCACATTATTAATTTCAATTATATATATAAATAAAAAATAAGGAAATGCATTTTCAACGCAATAAGTCCAAAGCTACATGTTAAACCTAAGTAGAAGTAGATAATCGTAAAATCATGAATCAATGTCATTAAGCTCAAGCATACACACATATAAGCCTTAATTACAGCATAATCGATTTACGAGTATTAACTTACATAAGATCTAGAACATACATCAATCAACCAGGTAATGAACTTCATGATAAAAACTTAATGAAATGCACTTGTGATAGACATGAAAAAGGCATTATATAAAAATGACAATTTAATCGTAACATCGGGTAAAATAAACTCGTACCGTGAAGAGTACTTAGCGACACAAACACGCAGACTAAACACCTATAGATATATCTAGAAAAGAACTACAAATGTAAGAACGATATTAAACTTTATCTATTATTGCCTGGTTAGTGAAGTGGTGCAATGAATGTTTGATGATTTATGTAGGCCTCCAGACATCAGGATCCTCCACGAGAGTTGTATGATGATCTGTAGTAGGAGGTACAGTACCCTGTGGGGAACTCACACCCGACGTCATTCCGGCTGGGTCGGGCCTGGTTCCTCTGTTGTGATTAGTGTATTAGTAACAAAATTAAGAATCACATTCAGCAAATATATTTTACTATTATATTTTAATGAAACGAATTACTGCTTGGAAACAATGAGAATGATGTATGATCTTGTCGTTTCACACGAATGATACATAATTCAGAAGACTTCACGTAATGAAATGAAATTTATGTTAGTTAATTTATGTATTATAAAAAGGACCCAAAAGCCACAGATAACAAATTCAGATATAAAAACACAAACAAATGTGAGATACAACAATGTTATTCTTCCACCCACAAGCCAACATGTGCATATATTGTTATGACACACCACACAATTCAGTTTTCTTAAACGAAACAGTTGTATAAAAAATGATTGCTATTATTTCAAAAATAAAAATATAATATATCCATTTATATCACATACCTATCGACTCATGTTATCAATGAAATATGCAATCTTAATGTTAATATAATCTATCTCATAGAATTATGCATAAACTGGGTAATTAACTTACTTTCGTCCAAGTGACATCAATCCGTATATCACACCTGTTGCAAATATTAAACCACTTCCAAGTAAACTACCCATTCCAAAACAAAGGAAGACAGGGGGAATTGCCATTCTAAAAATAATAGATAAAAACATATCTAAACATCAGCAATAGAACTTAATGGTAAAGGAAATAAAACTATCGCTATACTGTAGTTTAAAATATGGAATGGGATAAACTTATCTGACTTACATACAATACGCAGCTGCTCTATTCCAGTATGGTCTCTTCTCTGCCCAATCACTTAAGTTTTGTACAAAGTCAATAAATAAGCAGCAACATGGGGCCTCTATCATTATAACTACAAAACCAGCCACCATTTGCCACATACCACTGACTAGACAACTCACAGAGCCCAATAATATTGACACACAGTTCCATGCTCCAAGAAAAATTGCAACTGTAAAAAATTGGTACAAATGATTAGATTGTAAACATATGTTATACGTTAATATTGTGCACTCATAAAAGTTATTATTATCATATAGACTCTTTTACTAACTAATAAGTTTTTTATAGGAAAAGTTATTGCATTAGGTCAATTCCATGACAATGTATATGTCGCAATATATATTATTTATGAGAACGTACGTAAACTACCCACGGTACCGAGTCCTCGGCCAGCGTACTTCATCCACCAAGCTACATCGTCCTTGGCAACAGGGTCCTGTCCTGGCCTTTGCATGATCGATGATAGTTTCTCTGTGAACGACTAAAAATCAAAAGAAGATCGTTATCGAAAAGCTTGACACATGTCCAAGCGATCGTGGATTCATTGATCTCGAGTAAATTTACCATTTTTATCGTTCTACACTCCCCTTCTTCACCAGTTGACAGGACCAAACTGGACCAAATCACTAAACCACACCAAACGAAACAAATGAGATTGACAGCAATGAATGATCCTTGTTGGTTGATGTACGGAAAATCGACCCGCGAGTTTCTACACTACGTGGGCAGAGGCGCTTATACCTGTCAGTGATTTTCTATATATATGTGTATGTAACTCTCATACTAACTTCTTTATGGTTATATGTGGTTCTGTTGGTTGGCGCTGCCACTGTGCTGCTGTTTGTATATACATACCAGAGATGAAATTATTGTTACATTTTCATTGATCAATATTGAATAAATATTTGTATCTATAACTTTTCTTGAATTCGAGTACTAATCTAACGTTTGCAAAATAGTCGATGTACACTCAAACTCGAAGATGTTATCTATTTATTTACAGCCTTAATACAAAATACATCAAATAATACTATTCTATATTACAGTAATAATACATAACCGTTTAATTTATTTATCACAATACTATAAATTGATGTACTAAATCAATGTGAAAGCTGAAACCTAAATTTGAAATTGAATGTAAAAAAATATTTGTAGCTATTACAATTTTCATGATTTCTATAGAGAATATCTAATTAATGAACTAATAAATTACATATATCTATAACGATTATGAATTATATAAATAACAAGGATTAAGTAACTTTTTTATTGAAGTCAAGTCATGTTGTGTATTCAGTAAAATCATCCATATAAATACGTTTCCGATCATTTGATACATTGTTCGATCTTGGCGATAAATCATCGGTTGCTCCATCGGGATTATTGTGTGTTGATTCTTGTAAAACACGCTTCCGGAGCCGCTTAATATGTCGCAAACGTTCCAGCCAATTAGAAGCATATGGATTATGCCTATTTTGTTCCAATGATGACGAAATCATCGAAGCAAGCTATAATGGGAGCAGAAAATTATTAATATCAACAATAAACGATTATTTCTTTATAAGAAAAAACATACATTTGCATGAAGAGCTAGTTGGCGGGACAAAATGGCTAAATTTTGATCAGAGATAATTTTTGGTTCGCTGTGTCGAATATGCTTAGCTAACTCTTCCTTCACTTGAACTGTAACTTGATTAGTACCATGATCTAATGGTTGGATCACAACGCATGCATAATTAAACTGCCCCTAAAAAATTAAATATATTATTTGTGTTGTTTAAACATATTCTAACATCAAATACTTTACGCAATACATACTTTTACAGTTTGTATATTGTATGGTTCCCCGGATTCGTTATAAACGACAGTAACGTAATTATTTCCAATATGTTGCTTTTTGGATGTACACTTTGGGTCACTTGGTTTCGTTGGCATCAATGTAGCTACGTGAAAGGCCACCTAATATCATAATATTTATGTGTTAGCAAAAGTATTCGCATTGTACTAACAGAAAATTCAGTAGTTCATTTCAACCTGTGTAACATCATCTTGCCATATGTATGCGAAGTTCCCGTTTTCACCATTACGATCCAAACCCCCTAAAAACACGCTTTCGTCGACATCCTTCAATAGGACCAATGTTCCCAGTCGTTGCAAGAATTCTGTATATCGAAGAGATCCATGCTGGTTAGCTAAAATTTCGGTTTCATTAGAAGCTTGCCCTGGGCCAACGTAGAGGACACCGATTTTATGAGTTTCGTATGGTTGTATCCTATCTAAATTTGTCACTGCCCTTTGCACAGCCGTTGTTTGTGGTACCAGTAATGGTTTTTCCGAAGGTGAGCCAAAGTGTGCTGTATGATACAGTTGCAAGAAAACAAAGCTGTAATAAAAAGTATTTGGTAGTACATTGAAATAAGAATAACTCGATATTGCATAATATTCACACAGGTTCATACTGTAATATTACCTAGGGTTGACGCCGGTTTTAGAAGTTTCTTTTATTCGTGGCGAGTTTCCTCTACGAATATTATCCCATTCCGCGCGAGATTTTTTCACAGGACTCATTACAGAGATTGTATGGCCTCTATCGCGAAAATGTAAAGGCAGAGGAGGTAACATAGAAGGATCTGGTTTTTCGTCTTTCTGCTAAAAGACAACGCTCCCGTTAAAACAGAGATATGAATAAATATCGCTCGTATTTAGGCACACTACATATAATACTTTATCTGCTAAGTGATTGCGCCCAATAGGTGGTTTGCTATCTGATCCCAATGGCATTTGTTTCTGACCAGAATCAAGACTAGATAACCGAGGATAAATCTGCGTTGGCGATTGCGGAGGTTTTGAAATAGACGACTGAATTTGTGTTGCACGCCCCTGTACTCCCAAAAAGTTTCCTTGCGCCTGGAAACATATATAAAGAATAATAGAGAAAAATTCAAACAATCAGGAACATACGTATGTACATAGATCATATCTATTTTTTCTGTCTTTATACCTGTATAGTGGTAGGTGATGGAGGGACAGTATTACTAGTAGTGGTTGAAATTATTTGAGACACTTGTGTTGCGCCTGGATAAGAACGTTGAGATCGCAACGCAGTTGGATGATCTGATATATTTTCTGACGGAGGTGTTGTACCCATACCGAACATTTCCTCTGGTATAGCTTCACAACTGACTCTGTAGAAATGTTATGTATTATATTTAATCTTTATGGAAATAAAATATTACAAAATTGCTGCTGAAATAACAATACCTCATATCTTTTGTATACGCATTTTTTGCATGTTTCTTTAATTCCGCTTCAAGTTTAACTTCTACATCCGCTGATGAAAGATCCCGATCCACTTGTTGCAAGTTTATCTTCTCTTTATTCAGAAATGGGTTCTTCCAATTAGCACTCATTTCCGGACTAGAATTTGATCTGCGTACTGGATTACGAGAACGGCGTAAATCTATAAACATATTTTAATATACGCTTTGCTAACACACTTGTTTTGACAATATTGTACGGTCTGTACCATCGTCACCATCCTCTAAACTTTCCAAGCTATCACGTGAACTTTGCCTTGAAGGACTCGGTCGTGCTGGTGAACCAGGTATCGCTATTGGACCCGATGACACAGACGACATCACAGATTTCGTGATATAATCATTGCGTGGTTGATCCACAGTTCTATCCACAATATCCTATAAAATAAGTGTTTGTAAAATGTCTTTATTTTACATAACATATTCTTAAGTTACCTCTGCTTCATCGCCGGAACATTCTGACGTCGACTCTTGTTGCTTCTGTACCGAATACTGATTTAGCCTGTACAAAGCCATTATGTCATGTACAGGAAAATCTATGTTCGTTTCGAATTGCATCGAATTTTGAATTCTCATTATCCAAGACATATCGCCCGTGGGTCTACGCACATATATCTCGGCCCAACCTTGACACCAACAAGCACAGAGCACGTGTTCCTCCTGTTTCTCACTATTAAGTATCTGTTCCAATTTTGATGATTCTGCTTGATCTTTATCCAATTTTTCCGATACATAATTCTTCGTTGCATCCAAATCTTCCGAATTTTTTTTTGACTCCTCTGTCGGTGAATTTGCAGCTGTATTTCCAGTAGAACTGCCATGACCGCCGGAAGACTGCCTCGATAATTTATCCTCTTTTGCCGTCTGTGAATTATCACATTTTACACTTTCATAACTATATTGCATACGACAGAAATAAACAAAAATTACCTCTGTACTCGATGCTCGTCTTAGACTGGACTGAGAGGCTTTCGCATTATCGGGAGATTGTGAGCCGGGTTTACACGCGACCCAACAGTTATCACAAAGACCACCTCGCATCGCTTTGTTGCTACAACCGCTTGTCGTTACAGTAATAAGCTTGTTACCGAGTAACCACGTCATCGATTGACCCTCTTTAAGTAAAAAGTCAGCAGCCGGTAGCCTGAAGATCAATATATTTCATCATGATTTTCGTAATCGAATAAAATATAAAGAAAAATTGTGAACACTCACCTCTTCGGTCTTGCTGAATAAGTTGAAAATGTATATCGAGCCATAAGATCGATACAAGTTTCAGTAAGCTCAACGTGAAAAGTCATTAGAGCTTCATCGATCGGTGGCTTTAGATCTGCTTGCTTACTTGATACTTTATTATCTCCTATCATGCGATTGGCCATTATCGGCCTTTCTCTTCTACCTCTACTGCCCTATATTTAAAAACATAATAATAGAGATCGAATGAGGAAGCAATGTATCCTGTGTAACATAATCTAATTTCATATACCTGTTCAGTTAAACTTGAACTGCGCTTTCTGTTTGAAGAATCTTCATTTACGAAGTTAAAATCTGATTTCATCAAGTGACCTTCCTCGAAAGGAACTATGACATTAGCTTTCAATCCCTAGTTGAGAATTTGCCAAATAATTTGTTGTTACTCGTAATGCTACTGTATTAATAATAATACAGATCCATGATATACGTACGGTAGTAATGAATTTGACAAAATCTCTTCGAAATGGTAGTCGGCATTTTAAAAACCATACAGCAATCACGTGGTGCGCCAGTGATACTGTGTAATGATCGTACTTAAACGGATTCGTGTAGGGTAATAGAATTGCAAAAACCGACATGTATTGATCCCCAATAAAACTGGCGAAAACCTTTGGAAGTCTGGTAAGAGCTGTAATAAAAAGAAGTATGCAAAAATTGCTCAGATAAATAGATTTTATGATACTTACTAGATAAAAATTCCAGGATTGGTATAGCTATGTGTACTGTTGCCGAGATTTTTGATAAATTTAAAAGCACTTCCGACAGAAGTTTGTTCATCGTGTCTCGCATCTCCAGGATACAAGTTGTAAGGCTAGTGACACACTGACTCGCACATTTTGCTGTTAAACCGACCTAAAAAGACAAGATTGTCAATATCGAAGGCGGCTTTACAGTTTAATGTAATTTTAGAAAATAACATTATTTTACTTCCAAACATTTTATCAAACGTTGTTGTAGATTAGGTTCCAAATGTGCATGATACGAAGCTAACGAAGCTAACACTGGGAAGACATGAATTCGAAATTCTGAAATAGTAAATTTCGCAGGAACATTGTAAAGGGACTCTGGAAGTCTCAAACTTTTGTCACTGACCTGTAAATATGCATTATACGTTTCAACATTGAAACAAAAAAGAAGAAATACAATGACATACCATTGAACAAAGCGCGTTTGCAAAGTAATCAATATCGTTTGTATATCGTGATAATATCAATGCTCTGTTTTGCATTATTTGAGGTAATTCCTTCAATACGAGTTGTAAAACTTTCCAATCTGCGACAAGATAATAAATTATGAAATTAACTCTTTGGATGCGAATAACTGGAGTCCACAATACGCTAAACACAAACCTTTTTCTGACTTGATACAAGATATAACAGCTTTGCATGCATGCGCCAGTGATATGTGAGTAATTTGACAAGATAAATGTTGTAAAGGAGCTGGACTCACAGGTGGTGGACTACTACCACCGCCTCCGCTGTTCATACGCTCGGTTGCTGCATGTTCTAAGACTACATATGGACTGAACTTTGTCACGATTGAATTTTGAGCATCCGGAAATCCAAGATGATAAAGCTTGTTCGCCCTAACTTTTAAAAAGCATTCGAAAATCTAGAAGTATGATAATATACTTTATGAGACACTACATACCATTAAAAGGTACCTAAATTTAAATATTACGCCATACATATTACCAAATATCGAATCGTAGAAACATCATGAAACACAGATTGTTCTTTATAGTGTTGTTCCAGATAATTCACCAAAACTTTATAAGCACGTATGGCGTGATTCGAAGGTAAATGATAAATTTTTGACATCAATATCTTTATTACACCAACAACTGCAGTCTTTACATCTTTAACGTCGTGGTCTTTAGTAACTGGAGTATCAGAAGAGAAAGGCTTATTGATCACCTAAAAATGTATTCAATATATTTACCCGATGGTATATATCTTAAAAGCATTGTATTATGCATAATATATTTAATATAATATATAATATAATAACAAATGTTTACCTTCTCTAGTATATCTAAAAGTTCTAAACATCTTTTTGTGTCACACTCTAAGCAAACATCAACGAGTAGGTGTGCAACACCATTACGAATTATAATATCGGGATCCATATCAACGTGTTGAAAGTATGGCACAATTATTCGTTCAATTAATTCATCCTCGTATCTAGATCTGCTTAAAATAACTTAAGAAATTACTGGATTGATTAAAATTAATAAAGCAGTAATAATAATACCTATTAACTTGGATGACGTTCGTTAGGACTTCAAGAACTTTCACTCTAACATTAGTACGTGTCTCAATTTTGTAATATCGTTCCATCAAACCGGCTAATCTAGGCTGCCACTGGTAATGCGTTGGTCCTATAGTATGTGCTCGATACTCGATTAGTTTCAAAACGGAACATTCCTAAAAAAAAGACTTAAATTTTATGTTTGTATAAAAAAAGATTTAACTTATATTTGTATTATAAATATGACGTTACAGGTCTTGTATCGCTACAACGTTCAACAAGATCGTAAAATCGTTGAACGCAACCATTATAATGACTACTATCCAATAAATTCTCAATGCTGTTTATTGTTTCATGTAAGTTGACTGAAACTTGTCTAGTTGCAGGCTGATTACTAGTTTCTAAAAAAGAAATGGAATATTAATAACAAAATACTTACTTGAGAAACTAGTAACATTTATAATTTACCTATGTGAGAAATAACTTCTTCGATAATGTCAAGAATAATGCTCCATGTAGGGTCCCATAACTCAGCACCGTACTTATTTACCAGCCTTTGAATTGATAATATGACTTCGTACATAACAATTGGATGATTACATTTTAAAGCCTTATGAAATAAAATAATAACAAATTACTTATATTTCATCAACGAACTACATTTTTAAATTACAGGAAGATAAATATCATAACAAATAATATATGTTGCTTACTTGGTAAAATGAAGGTAGGACAGATGTTGGAGTACATTCCAACTTTTTAATCCTATGGGGACCCCAGAGACCCATGTTAACATAAAAAACTGCACCTCTAAGTACGCGAACGTCACGCTGAAAATTCGTGTCTTGTAGCAACCGACACATTGTGTATAAAGCAGAATGACCCATATGTGTGCCTAATAAATTACGCATGATCTAAAAGAGTTTAACATTGTTTTGATACAAACTGTGTCCAACAAAGAAGGGGTATGCTATAAATCTAATTTTTTTATTTACCTTCCAGCTTATTTGACAATATGTTTCAACGTTAACACTTCCACATAATGCTATAATAAAAGTTTGTAAAGAATCGGATTGTAAATTACTGTAGCAAACAATTGCGTCTAGAGCTTCTAAACATCCAGAAACGACCTCGCTGCTATTGCTATAATAGCACAAGTGACAAATGTACCTGAAAGTAAAAGTATTAAAAGTATGACATATCTCTTCCAATGATTATTGCCGTTACCATACTAAATCATAGAATATTTACTGAACAAGGCCTGATATAATATCTTCATCGATATATGCTGAGTTAAATTTGATAACATTGACAAGAAGGGATAAAAATTCAGCACCCCTCTTCCCATCTCCTGCTGTTACAGTAGGCATCCACTCTAACAAGAAGGGTCCCATTCTTTCTTCCAAGTGTAATATGTCTTTTCCATTTTCTGTTAAGCTTTGCAGGAGCTCCAATCTGTATAATCATTTAAAAATCGATCAAAACTCTTAAGCAATAGAAACATTTTTTAATTATCAGATTTCAATCATGGTACAATACCTAGGACCAATATCTTCAAGAATATTGTGCTCCTTAACAACCATAAAAAACTTCACTCTCATTAGAGAAGATAATTTAGAATATTGACCTTGAACAAGGCATCGCAAAAAATTTAATGTTACATGCCTATGTTCACGGGGTACATCTTTGTCCAAAAGATCTTGTACCAAATACCATAATCTCTCAGCTGCTCTCTAATCATATATGAAGAAGAAAACGATAGAAACACATAATTAATGCATTGTAAAGTTTATCATTGAAATGAATCTACGTACATCTTCCCATTGTTGATTAAGAACTGCATCGCACAGATCTTTGATTGCCTTTGTGCGATGATGCACAGGACTCTCAGGACTGATCTCTTTCTCAAGATCATGAGTTAATGTAAAATCTTCACGACTTTTATAGTTTCCTAGAAAGAGGTTTATCACTGATACACTGTATTAATAATACAAAATAATAGATGCATGTACAAGATGCAATGTTCCATTGTATTTTATATAGTTCAAGATGAAAACTTTATGAACATTACAAGTGCATATCAGGATTGTGTTACTAATAAAATGTAAGTACGAATTATAAAAATTATATTCACAAAATCACCTCTGTTAATACGAAAGAATTGTTTCAGTTTATCGTGTAATGTTTTATTGTCCTTATCTTTCGAACTCATTTTCGACATTTTATTATTAGAATTAAATGAGAACACTACGATAAAAATTGCAGCAATTAATAATAGACATATCAAAAACAAATCAGAATATGCACAGAAATGTTAATGGAATGCACCATAAAAAAGGAGACGGGATGCCAGAATGCCAAACACCAATCAGCTGTAGTCACTGTAGTTTGTAACCACGAAAAAATCATTAATGGAGATTATCAATGTGTACTACGTATAATAAAACAGAACTGTACAATAGTTTTTTTGGACTTCACCGCGAGGCAGATAGAGAAGAATGTAAAGCAAATGCGATCAAATATCATCAAATATTGCGATTTATTTGATCAAATCGAAATCATCGATGAGATCCTGCAGTTCAAAGTAACTATACACAGTATACAGATTATACTCAAATGAACGCACCTTTATGTAC